GGCAAGGGGACACATCTTATCAGATGGAAATCGTATTATGAGCAATAACAGAGAAGCAAAATACATACATATACATACATACACACACACGCACACCCTTGCTCGGGGTTAATGAGACTAGTTAATTTTTCTGCCAAGAAATATTACTTTCTGGCTTATTTCGCTGATCATGATCCCTTCCAGCTCCAACCATGTTGCTGCGAATTGCATGTGTTTATCTTTTTTGATTGCTGAGTAATATTCCATTGTATATGTGTCACATCTTCTTGATCCAGTCATCTACTTTTGGGCATTTGGGTTGTTTCCATAGCTTAGCTATTGTAAATAATGCTGCTAGGCTTTGAGAAGTAATACATGGCCACTTTGGGGAAAGAGGTCTAAAAGTCAAACTAACACAGACTTTCATCCACACTAATGACCAAGAGGCCAGAAAGATTTTAACAATGGGTACCAAGAATTTGCATCTCCACAGGATTATCCTTAGAAATCAGGAAGGTGTATCAACTCCAGCTTTTGCTTTCCTCTGTATATAGGTAGCATCAAAATATCTTAACATTTTTAATGTCAATGACTCAGTGTTCCTAACTGTATCATCTAAATTCAAACTTGTTTTTCATTGGAAGAGCTCTCACAGCACAAAATCTGTTGGACTGTGGACTATTTCCTGGGCTCAAATCCTCACTCTTGTTTTTTTTAATTTATTTTATTACATTGTCGTTCATTTTTGTACAGTAACTATTTCACTCTTTCATTCCCTCAGATGAAGTCTCCATAGCTCTCCTGCCACCACAGCACCCATGAACCATCCATCATGGTCCCTTGTGCTCTTCCCTACCATTTTGATGCTCCTTCCTCCACATCCCTTACCGCATGTCTCAGCTCCATGATCAGCTTGCAAGCTTTGTCTTTTTCTGGACCTTTTGCTCAGTTTCTTTAAATTCCATTTATAAGTGAAACCATCCAGTATTTATCTCAGTGAAATATCACTTGATTCTTTAATAAAGTCACTTAATTTTGAAAGAAGGAAATTAATTAAAACTTTGCTTTGTAAGGCATGGTGACTCTAAGTTTCTGAAAGTTTTCAGAAGGAGAGTATGGAGGTAGTCGTATAACCAAACTTATATTTAGGATATCTGAGAAGTATTGGGAAGGAAAAAGAGATGAAGTACCTAAGAAGTAGTGCCAGGGAAAACAATTCAAACACTTCAAAGAATTGTAACAGTAATAATGTTAAGAGTGTATCTTTTTGAGATAAACACATGCAATTTGCAGCAACATGGATGGAGCTGGAAGGGATCATGCTCAGTAAAATAAGCCAGAAAGCAAAAGAAAAATACTGGATGGTCTCACTCATAGCAGGAATCTAGAAAACTTAAATAAGGGACCAGGAAAATGAATAACTATAAGAAAGTAAAAATCAAAATCAACAAACAACTATGAACCAGAGACACTCTATGGCGGGTGGGCAGCGGGGAGGGGAGGGATTGGGGTCAAAATAAGGGGGTTGCAATTGTATGGGGAATATAAAAATAAAATTTATAATAAAAAAAAAGTGTATCTTTTTGATAGCTTGGTAGTATTCCACTGTGTATGTATGCCACATCTTCTTGATTTTGCTCATCTGTTTTGGAGCATTTAGGTTGTTTCCAAAGCTATTATAAATAGTGCTGCAATAAACATGGGAGTGCAAGTTTCCCTTCAAATTAGTGTTTATGTATTCTTTGGGTAGATACCTAGGAGTGAAAACGAGGGTCATAAGGCAGATCCATTTTTTTATCTTTGAGAAACCTCTGCACTGTTTTCTCCTAAGAGGCTGGATCAGTCCACATTTTCAACAATAGTAGGGTTCCTTTATCTCCAGATGCACACCGCCATTTGTTTCTTTTTTATATGGGTTATCCTCACAGATGTAAAGTAGTAACTCATTGTGGTTTTGATTTGCATTTCTCTGATAAATGATGATGAACATTTCTTTCCCATGCCTGTTGCCATTTGCAGAAACATGGAGTTGGAAGGGATTATGCTACGCAAAATAAGTCAGAATGAGAAAGACAAGTACCAGATGGCATCACATGTGAAATATAGGAAAGCCAAACAAAGGGTCAGATAAAGCCAAACTAAAAAAAATCTAACCTTTGAAAGGTGAGTATAGAACAGAGGTAACCAGAGGGAGATACAGATACTGGGGAGAGGGACGGGTGAGAAATGAAGTGGGGAGAGAATACAACAGACTATGATGGTGGCCATGGGTGCTCTCATGGTGGGTACGCTATGGCAGCAACACCTGAAGGGGGATCCTACCCTCTAAAGTACAATGTTGTAAGCCAATGTTACCTCACTAAAAAACATTTTTTAAAAAAATTCCAAATAGGGCCTCCCTGATGGCACAAGGGGTTAAGCACCACACTATGAAGCAATCCGAAGGCTCTGCAGCACAAGTTCAATCCCCAGCCACCCAGGGAGAAACCCCATGGCACAGAAGACCTCTCCTGGCTCGCCCACTGTGTATTTCACTCAGTCTGCCTGTTCTGTTCCCCACTCTGTCTTTGGTGAATCCTCTCACCTCCCGCATCTCTGGCCTCTACCCCAGCTCTTGTATGCATAAATAAATAAATCTTTAAAAAATAAAAATTCTGAATAATGACACAACTCCCAAAACATTATGGAATAAAACTAGAAAACAGTAAAAAGACAATTAAAAAGAAAAAAAAAAGAAAAAAAAAAAAGGTAATAATGTCCTGAGTCAGGACAATAACACTGAGAAATATAAAAAAGCTAAAAAATCTAAAAAGCATGAACTAGAGGATGAGTAGAAGTAGAGAGAGGTCCAAATATGATTCTAACATTTATAGAGCATATATACAGTGCATGGAAACAGATTTTATCTCATTAAATTCTCACAAAATTCTTACAAGAAAATTTAATTATATCGCTCTTAAAGGGAACTAGAAGCCTGAGTTTCAATACTGACTCTTGGTACTTACAAAATAAAACTGAAAGAATTACCACTTAGCTTCACTAATACTCAATTTCCTCTTAGGTGTTATGTAGTTGACAATATCCATCTTATGGTGATGGAGTGAAAGTTAAAGTAGTTATTTATAACTTGTCTTAAATGAATTAACATTTATTAACTACTGATTAAATTAAAACGACATTGTGAGAAAAAATTTACTGTGAAAGAGTCTTAACATTACCCATAGTCACCTTCCTATTATGGAACCAAGGATAAAATTCAACCTCATATCCTTTTAATTCCAAATATCCCATGTTTCTCCTCTCACTAATATCTTTGGAATGGGGATGGGAACCAAAATAATGGACAGGAAAATGGAATCACAGAAGTCCTCAAAAGAGCCCTAAATTAGCATTTAATTAGAAAATTGTTTTGTTCTCAATCTGAGTCTAAACACTATTCAAATAGACTCTAAATTACATGCCATTCCATATGTAAAATTTATAATTCAAATGATGTATTAGAAAATTAGGATTCACTGCTTAATATATAACTTGCCAATGAAAGTTTCATGAAGCATAGAGTACTTTGGGGAAATCTTTTTAATTGGCAATACCCATTCATCAGAGATTGCCTTACTTTCCTACCCCGTTAGCTGTGTGAGATTATTTGAAAATATTTGACAAGATTTTTAACTTTTCAAGGTGTTATCAAAATACTAAGCTGGTACACACTGCATGTCAGGTGCTGGAAAGGGAACACTATCTTTTAATGACTAGAATGACATCTGGAATTTTTTTATAAATGCACAATATTCAACGAGTTTAATTTTTAATTTTCAAATACCTTAAAGGGAAATCTTAAAAACTGAATCTTCTCACTCACAATATTTAAAATGTTAAGATCACTGATCAAATAGCCACTATTACAGAGGGGTACGACTTCTGCCTTAAATCTCAATCACTTCAGGCTGAGCAACTGGTGTTTGGATAATAGCACACTAGCTAATTACTCAGACACCACACAGTAAGGGCAACCATAGTTTTAGGCAGTTTTGATTAAAGGGAATACTTTTTTCTGTTTCGGCTTATTATGACTCCTAAACAGAAATATAGCTGGTTGGAACCACAAAGTAGACTCTATCCTAACAGTATACTGAAAGTTGTTGGATGGCAGAAAAGGTTTCACATGTAGCCAAATAGTTCACCACACATTGCATACTTTGACTGCTGTGTTTTTGCACCCATACAAACATAGAAAATGAAGAAGATGCATGTATATAAATCCAAGAGAGAAATTGTTACATTTTGTCAGGTAAAGCCAAACACTGAATGAGAACAGAAGCAAAGAAAATTCCAGTCCCACAAACTTACCAATCATTAAATCTGCCATCAATGGATGGCTCCAAATAAAAAACACAATATGAGAAACAAACCAGGAAACTGGCTTTATTAAGAATTAAAGCTTTCTTTCAAAAGACATTGCTGGCATTCCACTAAAGACTATTCACACATGTGCAGACCCAGTCTTGTAGTTTAGCCTGGCCCCAACTGTCCTGAGTGCAAACAGGAGTTTCCACTTCCAGAAAAAAAAAAAAAAAAAAACCTGCCATAACCAATTATCAGTAACTGACTACCAAGGAAAGAAGTTGCCTCTCTTTGAAGAAAGGAAAAGCAAAGTTGAAATAATATAGTTAACAGTAACAATACTTATTCCCCTTCAGTAGTAGCCAATGAAGGAGATTTTCTAAAGCTCAAGTGAAGACAGCAATTATTTCAGAAAAACAAATCCCCATATTTAAAATCTGTAAAACTATCCCCCCAAACGTAGTCATATATTTTGATAAGTACACACTTCCCATCCACCAAACAAGAAGAGAGAAAATACGTTTTCACTATGATTCCGTTTGCTTAAAACCAAAGATTTTACACATATAAATAAAAATTCTGGAGTGGAGACGATTTTTAAAAATGTACAATTTCAGTGTGATTTAAAATAACATTAGAAGAATGCATTTGATTTTACTTAAATATTATAGACTCACCGACTTTTGCTTCTCACATATGTCAAGAGTACACCATTTTCTTTTGCTTGATGACCAGGGACGTTGTCAACAACACAAAAGGCCAAGCTAGAAGAGACCAGATGCATACATTAGGCTGTCCCATAGGATCCAGAAAAGTCAAATGGAGAGGCTGTTAAGGAAAGCCTCACAGCAAACTAAAGGAAGACTGGCCAGATACTTTAGGAAGTTCAGACCGACAGTGTAAAACATTAAAGAGGTCTAGAAATAGACAACAGGTGGTTAGCCCTGCAGGTGTATAAAGTTTATCATCAGGTAACTGATGGTCAGCAACAAGCTTAAGTTTAATCAATCAAACTGACAGCATCTGGGGCTCTATTCATTCCAAAAAAAAACAAACAAACAAACAAACCCAGATCATAGCAAACCTAGCTAACCAGTCCAGGACCAAACCTGGAAGCAGCAATGTTCAGGGCTGAATCCGTGAGTTCTGGATGCATAAAATCTAATGTTTTCCACCAACAAGACAGATTTTTATAGAGTTAAGAATAAAGATCAACATGCAAAAATGTAAAACAACTCCATGAAGTATCTGATGCAGTCTAAATGATAACTCTTAAGCAGAAAATAATTCCAGAAAATCTAAATGTATATACATTTGAACAAAGTAGAAAAGGTAAAGGTTACTTATAGGCGGCAACAGTAGGATAAAACTAGAAGGCTGAGACCCACGTTCTTCCTTTAGGCTCGCCAACAGCTGACCCCAACTTACAGCAGCAGGATAAATTTATAGGGTTTGTTGACTATACCTATTGTTCTGGAATCTGGCTTCAATAGAGGAATAAGGTATAAGTGTAGGATTAATGAGCAGTCTTTTATTCACACCAAGTAGCAGCAGAATACAGTACTAAGATTTTAGCAGCCTTAGGAACTCTTAATATTGGAGATTGTACCTGTTGTGCCAGCAAGCACGGAGCAGGTTCTCTTTCCATTCAGGAAACGGCTAAAGGAGAGTCCTGGAGCACCCACTGGCTTTTTTCAGGCTTTAATTGCTCTTTCTACGCCATTGTTGTAGGGCAAGCCTGTAGGCTGGCAAGGCAAGGAGGCCATTACAAATCTTTACTCTGTCTCTTTGGGTTCTCTCTGGCATCATCTCGCAGTCCTGCCTCTGTATAATCACTCGTCTCTAGTAGCCGTTCTGCCCTAGCTGTTTTTTCTTGTGTGTGTGTGTATGTGTGTGAGATGCCGCCTTATATAAAGCCTGAACCTCCAGGCTCAGGTGTGCCCTCTTACGCATGCTCACACCACGCTACAGGTGTCAGCCATCAGGCATGCATGCCCTGCACCACACTCCCAAGTGCCTTCTGCATTCAAGGCCACAGGTGATAGTCACAGAAGGTAGCAGCATAAAGGCCTGAGCAATTTCACTTGTCCTACACTACCCCCATGTTATTTTAAACAGAAAAAAAACATTTACACATCACCATAAAAAAAAATTTATAGCACTTCAAGGGTTGAATGGAATTGCATTTGACCACATAGTCTATTATATTTTATATATCTAGTTAAATATTTATTAATTTGGATTCCATAAATTTTAAAATTATTTTCTGTTTTTTTTTCCCAATTGCAAGTGTGTATGTAGGTGCTAGGCCTAGTGATATTATTTTGTTAGTTATTTTCTTTGTTTTGTTTTTCTAAGTGGTTGATTTTTGCAACCCCTTGAGTATTGCAATACCCAATGAGGTATTTAACGAAGAGATAGCGTTAATGAACAAAAAAAGCAGTCTGAGCAACTTAAAGATATGCTTGGTCACGGCTCAGTAGTAAGCGGCTCAGATGCTGTGGGAATAAGTTGACTTAAAGAATTTGGTTTTGACTCTGAGTTGAGTCTTCTATCAGCAAAATGAGTGTCCATTCTGTTTGAAAACTATGCTGCTTGAAAAATGAAAAATGTAGCCGTGAAACAAAGATTTGACTTTTTGATCACTGAAGTTTTCAACCTAGCTTCACAGATACCCAGAAAATACCCATTACTAATTGGCTTCCAATGTTTCTTCTTAAGTGATTACTGTATCTGCAGAGTACTCATCCACCTGATGAAACAGCATTTCTCATCTACCCATGGAACTGGCATTTCAAATGTGCAGAAACTACACATAATGAAGCTTTGAAGTGTATCACTGAACTAAGGTTTTAGTCTCAGTTCTACCATTTACCTCATGTCACCTTAGGCTAGTTGCTTAACCATTTTGAATCTTTCTTCATCCGCAAAGTAGGTACATAATAATATATATTTTACGGAACTGTGAGAATCAACTAACCTAGTCTTAACAGAGAGCTTGGTACAGATGCAAAAAAAGTACTTAGTACAGAGTTGTTGCTGCTGCAGTCATTGATATCTCTACAGATAAAGTCGATTCATCTACTTCCAAAAAAAGGGAAAATAGGAAAGATAGTTGAAAGAGCACTGTAAGCTATTCAACTGAATAAAGTTCCTGTAGAACTATCACGTAAACTCGAAGTTTGCTCCATCTGAGATTTCATGGCAATTCAGGAGTAAAAATATTAATCTCAACCTTTCAAAAGTCAAGCCGTGATAATACAAATTTGTGAATATCTTTCAAGAAAATAAATGAAAGTATCTAACACAAAACTATTAATGTTATTTAAAATGTTGAGGAATTGCACACAAGCCAAATGTTCAACAATAGGACATGTTTAGACAAATTATGCCATATCTATTAGCTAGGAAATATAATATTAATACTTTGAAAAAGTGGGACTGTTTCTGATAAAGTACCAAGGAAAATATCAGTATTCAAAAATTGTAACTACAGATATTTAAAAATACTGGGAAAAAATAATTTAGAAGTCAACATTAAAATGATACATAAGTGTTAGAATAGCAGTATAATGGTAATTTTATTTTCCCTCTTTTCTGTCTCTGATATTTCTACACTTAAGGTAATAAAGTTGATATTTAAAATAGCACCTGCACATCATGTCCTGATGTTAAAGTTTGGCAGCTTTTAAGCAAGCTAGGGAATCTTCTGAATATTTGAGAGGCTAATGAAAATGATAATTATCTCCAACATCATTTCATCCATGGTGATTGCTATTTCCTCCTTAGCATCCACAAAGATAAGACCCAGGATATAAACCTGACTTAGCAACTTGGACTATACTGATGTCAGTGAGTACATTGGGCTGGAAACAGTGAGGTGAACAAGACAATGAACAGATATATTTAGTCTCCAGTAAAATTCACGTGGACACTGAATCCTTATTAACAGAAAAACAACTGTTTTGCCAGTTCTCTGAAGATCAATGTTATTCTGGTCCATATTTTATTAATTATTCATTTCATGATAACACACATGCCAAATTTGTCAAATGAAATTCTCCCCCTGAATAAAGAAAGAGAGACTGAGGACATATTTCTCCTCTGATTTAACAAGGTGGCAAGGAGAGGGTGAAGAAAGCAGCTCAGGGCACTGAGCTGATGGTGCAGAGTTGAGCAGATTTGGAAACTAAATGTACTTGTTAATTCCCAAAGTGATTTTAAGAGCAGGATACTGGAAGGAATGCCAAATAAAATTAATCCTTTAAAATGATAATGCAAATTTTTAAATCACAATGGAGAGCTGTAAGTTTAAAGAAAATGTTTCAGTATTTCATGTATCTTAATTTGAAAGCAGCCAAGTAACCTATGGAAAGATGCTTCCATTCTTACAGCTATAAATTGGGGAGGGAGAGGAGACAGGGAGAGAGAGAGGAAAGGGGAAAGAAAGAAAGGGGTGTGGAGCGAGCAAGGGGGAGAGAGAGAGAGAGAGAGAGAGAGAGAGAGAGAGAGAGAGAGAGAGAGAGAGAGAGAGAGAGAAAGGCTTGATAGGGAAAGAAAAGACAAAAATCTGGAGATTCATAACTGATATCCTAAAAATAGAAGTTCCTATCTGTGTGTGTATGTGTGTGCGTGTGCCCACATATGCACTTGTGAATCAATGTGCAACCTTCTAATTTTGTATCAAAAGATTAATTCTAAATACCAGTAGTTTGCAGTAAGCAATGAAGAAAACAGAAAGCAGCAATGACTAATTCCTATGCTTGGTCAATGAAGGTAACAGGAAAATCCAAACATGAAAATTGTTCTTCAGCTATAACATAATTAAGAATACATTATAGCATATTTGCTGTCCTTTGCAGATTTAAAAACCTTAAAAGTAAAAATAAATGTTCCAAGGCAGTCAGGTGCTACAGACAATATGAATTCTCAGTGCTTATGAAAAATTACCTATTCTGTCAGTCAGCAAATATTTATTGTTACATGCCAAGTACTCTGCTGATTCCACAAACTTCTGTCGTTGTGGATATGGTCCCTACCCACATAGAGCTTTTAATCTGGTGGAAGACTGATCTTGTGCATGCATCAAAAAGACCGTTACACACTGTAAAGGGTAGAAGAACACAGAAAAAAATGTACCCAATGCAATTGTCCTCACCTGGCACATCAGAAAAGACTTCTGTAAATTTGAGCTGAGATAGAAAAGACCAGTGGAAATAAACCAGGCGAAGAGAGGAAGGGCGTAGAAACAGTTAAGGCACATTCTCTGTGCCTGGATAGAACTTAGGTGACATAAAAAAGCAGAGTTTGGGGTAATAAGCAAGGTTATTAATAGCAATAATAAAACTTAGCTTCTCCTTTACCATCCTTGTTTATATAAGGAAAGGCCATAATTATTTTTATCCAAAGGGCTATATAGTCATTTTATCTCCACCTCCTTGTCCTTTCCTTAGCACTGCCTACCCCCATTCTATCACCTGCTTATTCTATCATTTATTAGACTAAGGAAGGGGTAAAGGTGAGAAGTTTAAGTATAGTGGAATCCCAATTCTTGATTTTTCAGTGCAGGATGCCTATAGAAGGTGGGCGATACAAATCATGATTAGGAGCACTACGGTTAGAGTAGGGTTGGTATGGCCAAGTACAGTGGCTATGGAGCTTGTGGTCAGGCAGTGAGGGATCCCATAGCAGCCTTGGGAATAGTCTTTGCTACTTCAAGACTAGCACTGACCTAAAAGCTTCACTGAAATTATCCCATTTGATACTGACAACTACTTGTAACTTAAAGACTATTGTTCTTATATTACATATGAGGTTTTAAGAGGTTAAGCAATTTGCTCAACATCATGTGGCATGTATTTGGGCTCAGATAGTTAACTCTGGCCTCCCTGATCTAAACCCATTGTCCTGTACAAGACTGAATTTCCCAAGGCAATAGTAGCTGAGTCTTCAGCAGATTCAATTTGTTTAGAGAAATAAAAGTGTTCCTATATACTACTATTGTAGAGAGGAAGCTATACCACCTTCATTTTAAAGGTTCATTCTGAAGAATGAATAAGAGTAGGCTACAGGTAAGTACAGAGAAGTCAGCTATAATATCATTAGAAGTCCAGGGAGAGACTGGTAGGTTGGCCTAAAGTTAAGCCTAAGTTTGCTAATTATGGAGCTACAATGACATGGTCAGATTTTAGAGACTTTTAGAAGGTAAAATTGTGGAATATGGTTATGGGTTAAGGTAAAATCAGGGGAATTAAGAATTGGAAATGATGTTTTTTCTTGCTTATTCCACTCCAAATCTCCTTTTATGTAAGGATATATGCGCTAGAACTCAAAAGAAGTATGTCTGGGCAGGAGATTCACAGTGATAATTCCAATTCATATTTTGTTTATTTTTAAAGATGTATTTTACTTATACAAGAGCTGGGGTACAGGCCAGATGCGCGGGAGGGTGAGAGGATCCACCAGTGACAGAGCAGGGAACAGAACAGACAGACTGATGAAATACACTGCTGAGGGGAGCAACAAGCGAGATAGAAGAGGTCTGCTCGCCATGTGGGTTGTTTCGAGGCTGGCAGGGATCTAACCGGCACTGTAGAGGCTGCAGACAGCTTCACAGTGCTGTGCTCAACTTCCTGCGCCACCAGGGAGGCCCCCCCCATTCATATTTTC